ATGTCAGCAATATAATTAAGGAAACAGATGATAGAGAATATAAAAATGATGGAAAGTGCTATAAATCAGAAATGTCCACAACACAATTTCAACCATGACCTAGGTATGGATAATTCCCATACTTATGTTGTTGGCCTCAGACCCCCGTAGTCCATCATCATTAATTGTCATTGAAGGACATGACTTACATAAATGGTTCTCAAAGTTTGGAACCCAGAAACCCATGGGCTCATCTGCAACCTGTGGAATCAGAAACTCTGGGAGTGGGTCCCAGCAATCTGTGTTCTGTTAGCAAGATTGCCAGGTGATTCTGATGCTCACTGAAGTTTGAACTGGCCCTGAAACTTAATGTGTTAAACCCAACAGTTTGCTTCTCATTTCCTGTTTTCTTAACCTCACCATTTTTACTAATAGCATCACAATCACCTTCATTTTCTGCCATCAACATCTTGGAAGTCATTTTTACTTTTTCATCTTGTCTTCTTTTTCAGTCCTTTATCGTGAAAACAGCCCATTTTGTACCCAAGATATTTTTAAAAATCTATTCCTTCTCACTTATTCTAGGCCCACAAAAATCAAATCCCAAGCCTTCTCTAACAAGCCAACCGATACCCTTTTTGTGGTCTTTTATTCTATTCTGCTCTTAAAATGATTTCCCTTACATGATGATTTCATCTGTTAAACCACTACTCAAGAACAATGCTATTTTATTTTGAACCAAAAATAATTATCTGTCTTTTCAGACATCCACCAATAAGCCGCCTTCCACTGCCTTAGTCTCATTCATCAGTTTCGAGCAAAGCAGATCTCACTGGCTTGTTCCCACTGCCTTGTATTTTATATTTCTCTTATCTGGAATGCCCTTCCTCTCTTTCCAATCTGCGTTCTCTTCCTATCGGAAATCCAATTTGCATTCTTTGAATCAGGACTCTAACTTAATTATTCAGTATTTATTTTCACCCTGTGATCATTGTATTAAATTTGCCCTAACTTGGACATTTCTTTTCCAGGCATTATTTCAAGCTGATACAATGGATATACTCTCCATTCTTTCCTATAACCTCTTAAAGTTCTTCCACTGTATAAGGCCCATTTCAGCCCCAGAACTGCAGTCAATGGACTTACAAGTAGGTAAGTAAAGCAAAAGTGTTGGTTGCTCAGTCATGTCCAACTCTTTGCAACCCCAGGGACTATAGCCCACCAAACTCTTCTGTCCATGGAATTCTCCAGGCAAGAATACTAGAGTGGGTAGCCATTCCCTTCTCCAGATGATCTTCCCAACCCAGGGGCCAAACCTGGGTCTTCTCGCACTGCAGGAAGATTCTTTACAATCTGAGCCACCAGGTAGGACTAAAGTGATATACCAAAACTCAAGTGTCCACATTTGCAGCTATTAGTAGTCCTGGCTTAAGCTCACGGGAGGAATAAGAAAGCCGCCATCTAATTAGGGTTTAAATACACAGAACTACTCTCTCATGCCAACTGTTTCTCATTCTGTGCCATTACTGTTTAGACGTACTATCCCTTATTGTGATTTTATCTTTCAAGACACAATTTCTTACTTCATAAATCCGAGACAATGAAATCAGTGTGTACTTATAAGTGTAGACATATATCTTCTCTTTAATATGGACCCAAACCTAAAGAAAACTCCATTAAGGCTATAAACAGAAAAAAAGTCACCTCAATTTTGATTGGTATTTCCATGGCTCCCTGAAATAAAATAGAGCCTGCTTGTTCTTAATATATTTTATGGTTTAGTGATATCCTGTAGAGTACTTTATTTTAATTTCAAAAAGGCAGCGAACAACAGATGTGGTAGAAGGCCATGAAAAGGAGAAATGGGTTTAAAAAAATCAGTTAAAACTAAAAATATACAGCATTGAGCTCCCAAAGCAAAGCCAACTGTAAAAGAGGAATAGAAAGCACTAGTGGGAACTGGTTTCATTCAGTCCTGGCACAGGAGGCAAAGAATTTTACTTTTTTACTTCTCACAGATAATTTGACTTTGTAAAAGAAGCGTCTTTATCTTCATCACATCATTTTACATTTTATTCTGAGTTCTATCATCAATACCAATCTTCAGATTCTTCTGGTTACATTTGTACATGTCCACAATTTGTTAGCTGTGAATCCCCAAATCTAAGATGTTCTGAAGGCTAATTATTTTTCTCTTATGTGTGTGATACTCACTCAGTCCAACTCTTTGTGACCCCATGAACTGGAGCCCGCCAAGCTTCTCTGTCCATGGAATTCTCCAGGCAAAATTACTGGAGTGGATTGTCATTTCCTTCTCCAGGGGGTCTTCCCAACTCAAGGATTGAGCCCAGCTCTCCTGAATTGCAGGCAAATTCTCTACTGCCTGAGCCACCTGACCTAAATTAATTTGGTGGCAAAACCTTACCTGAACTGACATAAAATTATTTACCATTTTTATGTATCTTCCTTTCAGTGAATATTCATACATTTTGCTGCTCAAACAAAGCATCTGAATACAGAATGAAGTTCCAGTCCTCTTGGGAGTGTGATGTAATATATTATATGGATCCTATTATCTCTCTAAAATTCAAATGTTCTAAATTTGGAAACAATCTGGCTCCAGAGATTTAGGATTGGTGATTGTGGACCTGAACTCATTTTCTCTTCTGATTTTCTCTTCTGGTTTTCTCAGGAAGAGGTTGGAAATTATTTATTATCTTGAGACTATCTCTTTAATACCTTAGTTTTTTAACATCTCCACTCTGAAGGAAGTAGCTAAATTAGGTTTTAACAAAGAAGAACTTTGGACTAAAGTTATACAAAAGGACTAAGAACATTTTAAAATAGGATTGCAAGCAGAGTTCAAGACGGAGGAGACCTATGTATGCCTGTGGCTGATTCACGTTGGCATTTGGGGGAAAACAGCAAAACTCTGTAAAGCAATTATCCTCCAATTAAAAATAAATAAATTCTAAAAATATGATTGCATGTCAAGGGGTATAATCTTAGAATCCAAGAGCGTGAGGTTTCTCATATTTTATGTCTTCACTTCCATATGTGGGTGCTGAATAAAAATAAATAAATATGTGTGTACATGCACATTTACACACGGGGCTGCCAGGTGGCTCAGTTCTAAAAATTCTGCCTGCGATGCAGGAGATGTGGGCTCGAGCCCTGATTTGGGAAGAGGCCCTGGAGAAGAAATGGCAACCCACTCTAGTATTCTTGACTGGGAAATCCCATGGACAGAGGAGTCTGGCAGGCTATAGTCCATGAGGCTGCAAAAGAATCAGACATGACTTAGCAACTAAACAACAATGACAATACACACACACACACAGTAGGTACACATGCATATATTTTATCAATCTAATGGAAAACTTGAAAAACAGAATTAGAGCTATTAAATGTGGACACAATGTTAAATTCTTACAGTAGATCATATTAGTAGTTCAAATAAAATACACTTGTTGTTGCAAATGCAACCAAGCACACACACATCCACACACTCCATTCAATGTACTCTACGGGCCACTTAATTTTTCTAGTATAATTATACAAAGTTAGTACTTTTCAATGTTTTATCCAGTGGGATGGTTGTAATAAAATTAGTATTGGCTCCCAATGTATAGTGCCAACTTCCTGAGGATTTGGGGTAGATGCTATTGAACTAAATAATTCCAATGGAGTCTGAGTTGTACACAAAACACTGAATGTGTTGGAAGTACAGCAAGTGAGCACTTCGCTCTGCACTGGGCTATGACTTCCTGTCCTCTTTGGGGAGAAAGGCTGGCCAGCAGCTGTCACAAACAAGGCAAAGCTCAGGATTCAAACAGTGAATCAACACTTACTGAAGGTCCACCAGGTGTCAAAATCTGAAGCAGACACTGGGACCTTGTTGCAAAATTACCAGCCAGCAAAAGAGTCTTTTTCAGAAGAACTCACAATATAATTAGAGATGCAGGGCAACCACATATTAAAGGAATTATTTAAGGCATATTAATAAAAGAGTATTGATAGAGTCATTAAAACCCATTATGAAAATCAAGCTTAAAACATTTTGAGAAGAAAAATATCAAGTGCTGGGATTACTAAAGACACTCTTTTCACCTTTACTAGAGACATACTTTAGTGTATGGGGATGTATATATATCTTAGTTGCAGGATCTTTAGTTGCAGCATTTGGGATATAATTCCCTGACAAGGGATTGAACTTGGGCCTCCTTTTTTGGGAGCTTGAAGTCTTAGCCACTGGACCACTAGGGAAGTCCCAGGGATATGTATTGCATAATGTGATCTATATAGAGGCTGAGAAGATATAATGGGAAAAGAATTACAGAACACAGTTGAATTCCCATCTACAAGTGAGCGTCAATCAAAAGATGGGGGAAGAAATGTGACAAATGCAGCATTGGTTCTAGAGAGACACAGAGTTCCCATCCTGACGGCATCTTGGCAGTTCTTGAAAACATTCCATTGACTGTATAAAAGCCATTATTTTAGGACATGAGACTCCTTCCACTCCAAACAGAAAGTCAGAATTTTTACACTGCTTTGTTATGACGTGAAAGGGACTAATGATTTCTTTCTCCATTTGTCTCTGATCTCTGCAAATGAAACAAAGAGGAGGTCATACTTTAACATGAATGGCAGCAGCCTCCTTTAGAGACAACCTCAGGACTTCCTAACTGAAAAGCCAAGTCTCTAATTTAAGTAGGAGACAGTAATTACTCTTCCAGCCAGGAAGAATGTTAAGTCCCTGCCTATTTGTAGCCCTGTCTAAAAACATTCGGCTCATCTTCCAAACTTGACCAAACTACAAATGGTATGAGAACTCGGTCACCTAATAAGGATGTTCATTTTGGCACTCAGCAGCTTATGCATGGCTCACAGATGGCTCCTGTCTCGTTCTGTGTAATCCAATCATCCTGCACTACTGCGTCTCACAGTCTTCAGGAGTAATTTGCAAAGCTCGCCGTGACAATTGTCTCTTCTTCCAGATGTCGAGGATGTAAGGAGGGTGGCTTTTACCACTGCTTTGCCATAGGATGTGTACATGGCTCTCCAGGTCAGAGTGGCACCCAGCAAGGTAAAGAGAAATTACTTCTTTGCATTGCCTCTGAGTTACTGCCTAGCCCGGGGATAAGCAAATATGTTCTATAAATGGCCTCTCTGTCTGTAGGCAACTTGTTTCACTTTTGGCTGGGCACCATGCAGAAAACATTCTGCAGTCCTCCTCACATTGTGTGCTAATGGTGGCAATATAGAGGCACCCAGGCCCAAGAAAAGATTCAAAAAAACCTCTAAATAGTGGTTGTTTCAGAGGGATCGTTTTACTCACAGGCAGACTTTCTAGTATTAACACCTGCACTTCTGCTATCATCTTCTGAAATCATGACAGTTTGTCCTCAGTCTTTTTTTGGCCAGGGGTGGTTTTTATTTTTCCAACTTCCAAAGGATGTACAAGATTTTAAAGGCAAAGTACTGAAACATTTTTAATCTGTAGGTTTGTTAGTTTCTTTTTCCCTTGAGGCTGGTGTTAATAGCTGTGTTTTATTTCAGTATAAAAATACCCCTTTTTAAAAAATCAAAGTACCTAAAACAAGGAAATATGCAAAGCCTCAAAACAGCTGTGTAAATTCACGTAGGCTTCAGGGCTATAAACATTCAGCCTTAAGGGAATGACACTCTGGAAAGTCTGATTTTTATTTAAAATTTAAATTATGATTATGAATTAGTGCTACATTCATTTTAGTAAAATATCAGTGCTGTATGTACTTCTTTAAGTTTTTTCTGCTTACTGCCATCATCACAACATAGATCATCAGTAAGAAATGTTAAGCACAGCAACTAAGAAAAATTTTCTAGGTCCTTAAAACAGTATTTTAGGTGAAATATTTTTTAAAAACATTTTTAAGAATATTTTAAACTGTTCATAATTTGTGTATAGTTTTGGGTTTGAACTAGCAGTTATAACTCCACTTGAGAAACGAAAATTAAAAGACAATATCTTTCCCTTAAGTAGCTTAAAGAATGAAGACTCTATATTTAGTCTGGTCTTACACACACACACATGCACATATACTCTTTCCAGTGGAAGTATCTAGGTAACTCCTGCCAGGAGGAGGAGCTTTATAGAATCCCAGAGCTTTATGTGTAGAATACCTTCTTAGAACATTAAACCAGTAGTGAATATGTTCAAGGGAGAGTTGTTGAAAATCTGAATTCTCGTGATACATTCCTATAAATTATGAGTTAACTTTTCCTAAGTCCTTGCTCATTGTCAATATTATCAGCACAGGAATTACTGATATGCTCATAAATTAATAGTAATAGCAAAAGTGACCTTTGTCTAAAGAGAATTCCAAAACTCAACAGACATTTATGGAGTGCATGTAATGTGCCAGGCATTGGGCTAATTAAATCCCCCCTATCTCTACACTTTAAATGAGAGAAAAGCTGACTCAAGGGAAAGAGTTATGGCCAAAGGCCATTTAATTAATTTGCTGTCTGGGGAAACAGCACAGAAACTGGGAAGAAAGCCCAGGTATGAGAACTGCTAAGTTGTTGTTCAGGATACAGTGCATTGTTTTTCAGAACTCCAGTGGAAGACTCATTTCAAAACTATATTCAACTAATGTAAAATTATCATTCTAAAACAAATACTGCATGTAAAAATCTCAAAGGCACAACGCATGCCTGCATTTCCTTATGGCTGTTGACCTCAGTTGGAGAATTTCATCCCTACAGACATTTTCAGAGGGAACTACCATCAGCAGGGTCTGTTTCCTTTGCTATGCTACCACAGGCAAGAGAGAAACTTCATGACTTCTCTAGGAATTTTCCAAAGAACCAAACAACAGGCTTTCATATGGGAATAACATGTTACCTTGTGAGCATATCGAGCACCTAATGCTAGGAATCTTACCTGTGTTCTGAATACGTTTAAACCTCACATGAGACTTCACCTATCTTTTACGTATGAGTAGAAAAATCACACAGAGCAACCGGCCAAGGTTACATACTTGCCAGTGAGAAACCAGAGAAGAACCCTGGTATATTTGATCCCAGAGTCCACGTTTTTAATAAACAGACACTTCCCACTGAAGTGGGCATTCATTGTTTTTTTTTTTCCCCTTCTCTTCACTCATTATTATTCCGAATATATTTCCTGAACACTTACCAAGGGCTAAGCAATATTTTGTGGCTGAAGAATCAAATGTGGTTAAATTAGCGTCTCTGTCTTTGAGGGTCTAGAGAAAGCTGTCACCTCCATAAATAAGTATGCTACAACACATGTGATCAAATCTGTAAGACATATGCCTAATGCTGTGGATGTAAAGAAATAAGGAGGGATTGAGTCTGTCCTTGAGTGGCGGGTGGAGTGTGAATATAATATGTGAGTGAGACTGGAAGAACATATAGATACTCGCCCTGAAAAGCTGTTAGCTGCTTGGAATATTCTGCTTTGTAGAATCATGTGTCTTCCAGTTTCCATAGAATAAATGAAGAAGGTTATTATAAAAGGACTAGGCCCAGTTTTCACAAAGGAACCCTCCTAAATCTGCAGAGATGATATACTCTCAATTTACTTAATTTCTGAGTATAGAAAAAGATGAAAAGCCACAAGATATTTTTATGAAACAAGAATTATATTGTCATCTAAACCTTATAAAGAAAGTGAAAGTGAAGTCGTTCAGTTGTGTCCAACTCTTTGCACCCCATGGACAGTCCTACAAGGCTCCTCCCTCCATGGAATTTTCCAGTGCGTTGCCATTTCCTTCTCCAGGGGATCTTTCCGACTCAGGGATCGAACCCAGGTCTTGCACATTGCAGGCAGATACTTTACCACCTGAGCCACTTGGGAAGTCCAAACCTTATAAAGATAGCAAAAAAATAAACTATAGATCAATCTCACTTATAAATATGGAAGTAAAAATCTAAATAACATAGGAGCAAATAAAATCCAAGAACTCATCATAAAAGTTAAACAGCATGATCAAGTGATACTTATTCCCAAAATCTAAGAGGAAAATCATACGATCATCTTCTCAGATGTTAAAGTGGCCTTTGACAAAAATTAACAACCATTTCTAATTATCAAAACAGTGAATAAAACAGGAACGGAACTAATTCTTCTTTGATGTTAATATATGATTATAACTAGACATACACACACGCAAAATGCAGACCCAGTATGTTAGGAGAATACTAGAGGCATTCGTATTAAGACCGCTTCACTGCTCTTTCTGCTCCACACCAACCCTCCTTCCTCCGGGCCCCCTGAGCCTTTCTTAAACGCGGGAAACTGAGTCTCGGGAGCGAGCTGGACCCCAGTGAGTGGGTGGGCTTCAGGCAGCCCGCCACTGGGACTGTAGTCCAATAGCCTCAGGGCTGGGTCGCCCTAGGGCTTTTATCCTCTTGCTCTCTCTGCCCTAGAGTTCGGGGTGTCCAGAGGTGAGTCATTCTTGGAGCATCGTCCGTCATGCAGACCAGGGATTGTTTGGAGCACTTCTAATTTTTGGAACCCAGTAGGGTGAGGTAAGGAAGGGTTTCCAGGCTCAAGAACTAGCATGCACACATGCTTGGATGTGGCAATGAATGAGGGAAGTTATCTTTTGTATTAATAATTGAAATATAGCTGCTTTACAATGCTATGGTTTTGCTGCACTACAACATGAACCAACCATGTGTATGCATGTATCCCCTCCCTCCGGAGTCTCTCCCCACTCCCCCATTTCAGCCCTCTAGGTCCTTCGGAGTACTGAGCTGGGTTCCCTCTGTAACACTGTAGCTTTCCTTTAGCCATCCGTTTTTCATACCTGTGTGCTAAGTCACTTCCATCCTGTGCACTCTTTGCAACCCTAGGGTCTGTAGCCCGCCAGGCTCCTCTGTCCACAGGATTCTCCAGGCAAGAGTAGTGGAGTGGATTGCCATTTCCTACTCCAGGGGACCTTCCGGACCCAGGAATCAAACCCCCCGTCTCTTACCTCTCCTGCACTGACAGGTGTGTTCTTTACCACTAGCACCACCTGGGGAACCTCAGTATTTCCTGGTGGCTCAGATGATAAGAATCTGAGTGCAATGCAGGAAACTCAGGTTCCATCCCTGGATTGGGATGATTCCCTGAAAAAGGAAGTGGTAACCCACTCCAGTATCCTTGCCTAGAGAGTCTCATGGACACTGGAGCCTGGTGGGCTGCAGTCCATGGGGGGTGCAGAGGCTGGCACAACTGATCAACTAACACATCCACTCCAGTATAATTACTATTTTTTGTACTTATTAAAATTTTCTATCAGTAAATAAATAATACTAAATAAAAATATAGTGGAGATACTAGTCAATGCAGAATAAACAACAGAGCTCCAAGAATTGGAACAGAAGTGAAACTATCTCTGTTTACAGCTGGTATTGCAGTATATTTGGGAAAATCCAAGACAGCTGATGAAAACACTAATATCATTTTTAAAATTCAGTAAAGTATTAGAATATTAAGCTGAAAACAAATCATAAGCCTTTTTATACACAAACAATAGCTCATGATGTGATGTAACAGAAGATAAAACTTCAGTTACATTAATAGCAAAAAACAAATTCATTTAAGAATACCTAAACAGGAACTGTGTAAAATCTATGTGAGGAAAAATTAAAGACTTTTGAAAGGAAAATCTGAATTAATTTGGAGATTTTTCTTATTTTTAAATAGTATGAGTGAACTTTATAAAACTATCATTTATTCCCTTCTTATTAATAAATTGCACATGATCATAATAAGAATAACAAAAGTTTACTTTATGGAGTTGTTCAAGTAGATTTTTGAAGTTTATATGGAAAAAGAAACATACAAAGAGTCATGAGAAAAAAAAAAACAAATAGTCATGAGACTTCTAAAAAATGAACAATGAAGGATGACTTTTAAAACATACTGTAAGACTTCTGTAATTAAAACAGTGTAATATTGATTCTTGAATAGATAGAAAGAGAGAGTAGTGGGGGAAAATAGAAAGCTCACAAGCAGATGAAAATCATCTGGAAATATAGTGATGAAAAAGGTAATATCTCATTGCAGTGTCAGATTATGAGGGAAAG